TCTGACTATCTATCTAGTTGATAAGAAGAATATACTTGTAAGTGCATATGTATTTAATATAAGGGCTTTTAAACGGAGCAACTGGAATCAAAACTCTGACGCAATCAGGTCTGCTGCCCTCACATAGAAACAAGTTGCTCCTGCTCCGGGTATTTAGGATCAATTGGTCAGCCAACACCATCTTGTTACCTTCCTCAATGTATGATTAAGTATCTAATCCTGCTCGTTGTAAGTGCTGGATAGTTGCAGAAGATGTGTTCCAAGCATTTCCTTTATCTTTATTTCATTGTTATACATAGCGTGTTGTGACCCCTAAGTAGGCTGGTGGAAGAATTGTATTACTCTCTTTAGAATTGGGTGAGTCTTTTGTCTAAACCATTATGTAGTTTCCATGGATCATTCTGCCAGCGGTTACAAATCCCATTCTACAATCATGAGCAAATCAACCTGAATTATAGCTTGTTTCATAAACTAAGATTATTCATCTAGCTGTTGATCACATACTATTTATTCTCTTACATCAGCAGAGCACAACATTCTGCAGATTTCCACCGCAGGCTGCAAAAAGTTATGCCCCAGAAAAAATCCAAAACGCTGCCTTAGAATCTGCTTCAGAGCTTCAAACATAGATTGATATTTGAATTCTTCATAAATGTTTATTCAAAATTTTTTATCATATACTTTTAGAAAGTCTGCACCTGAGAATGTCACGTAGGCTTAAATGGGAGTGGATTTACAAACTTCATCATGGTATGTCTGGGAAGCTTTATTACACTCTTTATTACACTTTCAGTTTATAAATCACAATCTGCAATTGACCGTTCATAGACTGTAATCGATTTAGCCTTCGAGTCTCTACATCACGATCTGTGTTTTGAAGTCTTCTTTATAGACTGAATCTGCATTTGGAGAATCTCTAATCTTTCAATGGATCGGTCGATCACACTCTATGTATTTGAGTCTTTAACATCTTGCTGCTGTTTTGTCCACCGCTCGCCAGCTTTTGAGCAGGAAGTTAACTCTCAACTGCTGTAGAAAACTCTTAGGGAGATTCGTATATATTCTGTGCTTTTCTTATTCATCTACCGGACCCTTAGTTAGTCTGGCCTTTTTGTAGCCTTCACTTGGCTGACAATCCAGTAGATATGGTGTTTTGTATTATTATTTAATTATTACTTTATAACATTGTTAAAACTTTCTTTGTTAATTCAATAAGGCTTGTCTACAACTTGAAATATTATGAAAATTGTTTGAATAGCTTATAAGAAAAAGGTAGTTCATAATTAATTACTCAACTAACATTGAAGGACTGATAAGTAATTCCAGTATTTTAAATAGATAAGATTTAAGCTCAGATTACATTTGAATGTAAACGAAATGCGAATAATTATAGGCCTTTAAAACATGAGATACCCTTAAAAGTATTAATTGTTATAATTGCCTATAACTTTATTTCAATTTCAATGTAACTCTAAAAAAACTCTTTATAATATTTCCTATATGAGTTCATTGGCTCATCCCATGCTCTTCTTATGATCTGTAGAAAGGACAACAAGGACAACGCTCTCTAAAAAGAGAGAGAAAGTCATTTTCAAATCAGTTCCAGCTCAATCCTCATCTCCACCCATCGAATGCCATCGAATGTCAAAATGTAAGCAGATTTTAATTAGCAACATTTAAATTGCTTAGCATTATTGTTAACCATTCGGGATATAGTGGTTTCGGGGACAGTTGCTGTTAGTTGTTGTTATCGATACGTGAGCAATAAACGCCATCAAAAACATTGTCCATTTGAGTGAAAGGGCCCCAGCGGGGTGCTTGGGTCAAGTGCTGGCTGGAATTGATGTTTCGTTTATGATTTATTGTCATTGAGCTCTGAGCTCCGAACTCTGGCAAGTCATGGCACTCAGCCACCCTCTGCCTCAGCCTAATGGCCAGCATATTGCATGCGGCTTTGATGTTGCTGCCGTTTGCTGCAAAACAAAAACTAAATTAGACATAATAGCCGTGCGAGGGGAGGGCAGGGGCAGGGGCAGGGGCAGGGGCAGGGGGTGTTGGCGTCGCTGTCGCCGTCATGCTGTCATAATCATCAGAAGACAGAGCGCGGCAGCATCCATCCAGCCATCTAGCCATCCATAATATCCATCTATGGGGCAAGCTCACATGTGTTGCAGAAGCGCCGCAATCTGCCCCGCCCCCCCTTCACTGATGTAATAACCATGTTTTCAGCTTGTAATGCGGCCGAGCAACAAACACTTTGGGTCTGACGGTCTGACGGTCTGAGTGTTGGCTGCGGGGGTTAAAGTCAAGTTGTTGGCAGGGAAGGCCAAAAGGGTAGTAGCATGAGGGTGCATTGTGTACATGTCTGTGTATATATATATGTGTGTGTGTGTGCTACTTTTGAATTGTTTTTGAAGTTAAATGTGTGATAATTTAATGACTGTCGACGCCTGTAGCCCGTAGCCTGACGCCTGACGCATCGTCCTTTGTCGTCTGCCTGCCTTCAATTGAGCAGTAGCCCTGCACTTCTTCATCGCTTCTTCAAGTTTAATTTACTGGAATAATAAAAATGTTTGCCTGGGCATAAAAATCTGCGGCTCACGGCTGGATATGATTTGTGCACTTTTGATGTAACAGATTGTCATTTAATGGTCGGTCCACTGTTCTATAACTGAAGCACGAATCACGCAGTTATCGTTTCGGGGGTTGTTGGTACTCGTAGCACTATGTTTTAGGATGATGCTCTCATAATTTGTTAGCTTCCATGGGAAAATGTTTGGCACGCCTATTAGATAGAGTTTATATTAAAATGAAATCATTTTCGCGCAATTTGTACAAATGCAGTCTATTTTCTTCTCTTTTGTGAGGATGGGGCATGTTATCTTATTGCTCGAATTGCTCGAACGAAATGCAATTCCTCCTCCCAGGACTGGGACTCTGGGATTGCTTCAGAGTGGAGTTCTATCTCTGCGTGGAACTTCTTTCATTTCAAGCTAACGCTCGCTGTGCTTTGGTCGCTTCCTGGTTAAGCTTCTTTCGTCCTAGGATCTCTTCGGCATTTAGGTTTATATTCTTTCAATTCTCTTCTCATGATGCCAACAATTTTTCTTTTTTCTTGAATAACGTCTATATCTGAGTCGCTGTAGAGGAGAAGACTATTTGTTCAACTGATCGCTTTAGCCACTAGCCGGCGTTTAATAGATTTTCCCAGCTGTGCAAATCCATTGGCATACATAATACTGTATATGCATAGTTAAGTGGGCACGAATCTGCCTACTTTTCTTGCCAAACAACTTGCTTATAACATAGAGGTATTTTTTCAATTTTTTTCTATTTTTTTTCAAAAGCACTGTTAGTTTTACTTTTCAAAGTTAATGGCGAGTGAAACCAGTCCAAATATTTTTGCCCCTTGTTTTTCATTTGCATACTCGCAACATTAACATTTATGCGCTGATGACAAAGTCTAAACTACTTAAAAAATGTTTCAAAACATACATTTCGAAGATGAGCTATATAGACTACTTTTAAAATGGAAATGCCACAGAGTTTTCCCAATCTTATTCAGACCTACCTAGAGTCTAAGATGTGTTCCAAGTAAGAATTTCTTTGTACAGTTCGAATAAACTAAATACTTTTATTATTTATTTATTTATTATTATCTTATTTATTCTTATTCATTCATCTTAAGTTCAATAAATTATAATCTGATAGTTAATTAATTAACTGAAGTACGTTTAATTAATTCATGCAATTATACAAATTTATTACACTATTTTCAGGTTTGTAGTCAGGGGGCTTGAAAACAATAACAGAAACTTGTCCCACTTTTCAAAACTGATTTCTGCTGCTATTCTTCGTAGAAACCTGTTCTATATATTTCGTTTACTCGTATTGCATTTAATCGGCCTGCTTCGCATTTACTTGGCTGGGCTTCTGCGTACATAGAATGGCGGAGGACAGCCTGTGTCAGGTCCTTGCGCTAGTAGGAGCCGGCTAACAAGTTTTCCAGACAATGCCTAATTAAATTAGGGTTTTATTTTTACTTTTTTTAAACGAACTAAACATGTTGCTGCGCTCTGAGCTGAAGGGGTTCTTCTTATCACACCTCAGACATGAAGAAAGTAATTTAGAATGCAAGCTTTATTAAATCGGAAAGTATTTCCGAAATATTAAAAAATGAGAACAACTTTGTTGATGTTAGAAGCTTCTAAGACTTGAAGTCTTGAAAATATTCAGAAATTTGTAAATAATAAAAAAAGTCTGTAATTATATATTTGATTAAGTGAAGATAGAAGATGCTTTCAATCACTTTTACTTTTTAAACAGCTTGTGTTCAAGTATTAATATAATGTTTAACATGCTTTTTAAACACACTTTGAAAGGCTTAGGTCCTAAACAGGCCCTATATTTCCTAGCTTTACAAAATTCACATCAGCCGACTCATGCCTAGGTATATCAACGCTCGAATTGAATGAAGATTTATTCAAAAATTCATTATAAATTTGAACGAAATCCAAGAGCAGACGACTTTAAGCTTTGATTTCGCGCTAATGTGAAAATATGGCGTGCTTGTGGAAAAAAACGGAATATCAAATGGGCACACGATGTGCAAAATTTGCATACTCACACACGCACACTCACTCACATATGTGTGTGTACACAAATGTACATTTGTATGACAAAGTGCGACATCAAATGGCAGACAGCCGCAAACAATGAAAAATGTTTTGCCAGGCCGCCGACGTCGGCGGCTTATTTGGATATGTTGGGTGGCTGGGTGGCTGGGTGGCTGGGTGGCTGGGTGGTTTGGCTGAAAGCCAGCAAAGCTAATAATTTAATTTGCCAAAAAATTGCAATAAATATTGCAAGCGCTAGCAATGCGGATGTATACAATACAATATGGCTTTGTGGCTCACGACACGTGACTGCGATTTATGCGGCCACGCGTCCTCAGCCGAATTCAATCTTTCAACATTTGGCAGAATTAAATGCGAATATTGTTCAGTTTTAAATTCAATAGCAATTTATTGATTGCAATGAAATCTTAAGGCTACTTCTCCTCATCTCCAACACTCTGTCTCCAAGGATCTTCTAGCAGAAGTGCAAGGCATTGAACTGGTCGCGATTGTTGTTGACCATGTTATTGTATTTGTAGGCTGCACTGTTCAGACTGCTGTTGCTGTTGTTGTTGCTGTTCGCCGTGAGTCTGGAGCTGTGCAGGAAGCTGTCCGTGGGACTGCTGGACACGGCATACTTGCCCGAGGGTCCGGCATTGCGCATGGGACTCAGATGCTTGGCGGGTATGGCCTTGCTGGGCGTGCGATCTTGATGAACCATTTTTGCGAAAGTTATCTTTTGCGTTTAAGTACAGTTGAAACAAAAGGTATTCAGATATTGATTCAGGGTACGCTGGAGAGACGCGTGAGTACGGAGAATTCCAGACAGTTGCCGCAGTTGCTGGTACGAGAGCCGCCCTTTTTAGATGACAGATGTTTCGAGAGGCTGTGCATATGGAAAGACGTTAATAGAAGCTTCCAAATATTAGAAAAACCGCAAAAACTAACCTTAAATTATTTAATAGCTTCGCTTTTGTGTCCGGTGTCTTCATTGACACATTTGTTGCTGCACGTGGACAGAAACTTTGGGTAAAATATGGTAAGATGTTGTTTGCTACTAGCACTAGTTTTTTGTGTTCGAAAGCGGCGCAAAGTCGTCGCTTTTATAGTGCCCCTAGATCGGCGATCTACATAGTTGAGTGGATCGATCATGCGCCTTGAGCGTGTTAGCGAAGACCGTTTTGTTGTTATCTTCGTCTGTGGAAGATTTGCGTCAAAAACACGTTTGTGTTTGGCAAAATCAAATGACGTCTTGTTATGAAAACAACCAAAAATTTGCCATTACCGAGACATTGGTTGGTAACCCCATTAAGTGAAAGAGATGGGGTGGTAGACGCATTTGTTTCAGCACGTTGCGTCTGAATTGATTTGAATTATGCGTCAATGGTGTGAGTTATGTGTTAAAGAAACGCTGGTAAATATTATTCTGAAAAATAAATGGATGTGATTCCCAATTAGTGACGGGATGATGAATTGAACAGCAAAAAGATTAACCTGCACTTGAAAGACATAAGTAAGTATATATAACTGACAGATGAAAGTGGAAGTTGAAGACGTTTTTGAGGATGGATCTAAATTAGTTTTTAAGCTTGTTTGCTAGTCATTTTGAGAACATCTTTATTGATGGGCAGTCTCTGTAGAAACGCACTTGATTCATTAACTCGACTAGATGATTCACTTTAAGCCAAGCCTTTGCCAAGAATTAAGAAGACTGAGCCTTAACTTATAGAAGCTTTCATCTCTGAAGAAACTGTTGTTGAGGATGAATCTAAATTAGTTTTTAAGCTTGTTTGCTAGTCATTTTGAGAACATCTTCATTGATGGACAGTCTCTGTAGAAACGCACTTGATTCATCAACTCGACTAGAGGACTTACTTTAAGCAAAGTCTTCGCAAAGAATTAAGAAGACTAAACCTTGTGTTATAGAAGCTTTTATCTCTGAAGAAACTGTCCTAATTCCTTGCATTTATTCCCCGCAGCCAAGTCTACTTAGTTTTTGTTATAAGACTTTTTATCTCCGGAGAAACTCGTCCAAGCAAAGTCTTTCCTAAGAATAAAGCACATAGCATGTCCTAATCTAAAGCTGCAGGAGTGTCTTTTTTAAATCTTCAGGATATCTAATCAATACATAGAAGTCTCAACGATTTTAGCTCAGCACCGGCCGGCTTGCTCTTTGCAGAAAGACAGACATTGAGTTCAAACCGTATTTATATAAAAATTGTTCAAAACTTGCATTTTCGTTTTTTGTCTGACATTACGAGAAACCTGTCTCAGAATTTAATGTTCATAAAAAATGGCACGGCACGTTTCTTCATTTAAAGTCATGTGTCTGACATATTTGCATATTGCATTATATAAAGAAACTAGATTTTTAACGTATAAAACTTCACTTAATTTCAATAAATTTTGAAAAAAGGAAACAAGTAAAAAACGCTTGACATTTAGGAGGAGACTTAAAGAAATTAATATATAAAACAAATCAAAATTTTAACAACATTTTTGGCGAATATTTGATACGTTATGATATGTTCCAGATTTGGGAATGCCGGCTTACGCTTCTACTTTTTAGTTTTATGAGATCGATTGATATTGGAGAGGGTTCTGTTTCTTCCCTTTCTTATTGTAGAAAATATTTCTTAAACAAAATAAGTTCTCAAAGAATTGCCTAATACATTTTTGAATGCACTATATTATATGTACTTTTAAAAATGTATTTGTAATTGCAGGACTGAGTACCTAAGAAATTATTTTAGACAATCTACGATCAAACTTAGGAACGTGTCCTTAAGAGTATATAAAATTCAAGTTCAAGATCATATTACGTTAATAAACAGCTTATGATAACTATAGCACCGATCGAACGATAGCTGGTGTAGCTATATAAGCAACAACAACAACAAACAGGCTTTTAAAAGTTTATTCCGAGATGTTGTTGACTTGGCTTAAACGGCTGATGCAATGCAACACATACTTTTCATCATCCTCAATCCATGCATAATATCGGCGATATATGTATATCCAAGACGAGTATGTAGAATGGACATACATATTCATTATATACATGGTACGATGCCAGTCGACTTCATACATACTATATGCATGTACAAGTATAAGCTGAAAGAGGCTTTGAAAACATCCGATCTATCCTAGAGACCCATCCGAAGGGGTTCCAATCTCATCTACGTGATGTGTCAGAGACATCCGATCTATCCTAGAGACCCATCCCAAGGGGTTCCAATATCATCTACGTGATGTGTCAGAGACTTGTTGAGTAGCCGGCCGGTTAATAATACGCGTCTATCGCCAGGCAGACAGCGATACGTGCTCCATAGCAGGTTTGGGTCCATTTGATATACAAAAGAGATGAAAAAATAAGTTAGGGCGGAAGTTTGCGGGGAGGCTGGGCGGCAGGCAGCTGTGCAAGTGTTACGCTGAAAACCAGTTACTTGGCAACTCTAATTTGCATTGTCGTCTGCGGCGACGACGAACGAGTTCGTCCGAGACGCCGCACACTGTCAATAAATTGATTTGTTTCGTAAACATCTTCATTATACTTTAAGATGTTTATAAAAAAATGTAAAACGCTCTTTTTAAACGAGTTTGTTGAAGGAGGTTTAATATAACTATCGGACATACAAGCAGTTGACGAGGATAAATATACTTTTTTTGCATTGAAAAAATTAAAAATTAAATTGAAACTGAAAAATAAAATCATTTATAAACAATTTCTATCTATTATTAAACGAGTTTGGTGAAGGGGGTTTTATATAACTATCGGACATACAAGCAGTTGACAAGGATATTATTAAACTAGTTTGATGAAGGGATAAACATATAATTTTTATATTGAAAAAAATAATAATATTTGTATTCACAAACATATTCACAAAAATTATTAAATTGAAATCGAAATTTTAAAACATTTTTTAATTTTTGCTTGTAATTGTTATTTTTAAAACAGTTTTAAAATATGTAAAGGAATTCTTTAATCGGCGACCATTCAATAAAAGCTTTAGAACGGTTAAGTTTTAAAGAAAATACATTTTGGCTTCCTAAAATTTTTGAAGTTTTTGGATTTTGTTCTAAAATGTTGTCAAGTTTAGATGAAAACCAATTGCTCAGAAATATACATACATACATCTATTTTTAGTTTTTTTTTTTAATTATTATTTATTGAAATATTTAATTTACAGTTTCCACAATCCTCGGAGCAGTGTGCGTGATCGTCGCTTGGTTGTGTGTTGCTTTCTTTATTGCTCATGCGACCCGTTGGCTGTGTCGTTGGCGTTGCCAGGCAATCGACATCGACATCGACACGTCTGCTATCTTGCAGCTGCTGTTGTGGTTCGTTAGCTTAGAATTGTGACGCAGAAGTTGGACGCACAGGCAGCGGGACAGATGTACTGAGCCGAGAGTCTGTGTTGCATTCGCATTCGTTGCCGTCGTAGTCGAAGTCTCAGTCGAGATCGTTGATTATTAAACCAGTTGCAAGCTCGGCTCGAGACTCAGTGAGTGTGCGAAATTCCACTTAGAAAGTTCAGAGCAGTGGCGAGTACTTTGCCTTACCTGATGCAGCTTTAAATTGTCCATTCAATTTCGAGGATAGTGTGGGCTAGAAATTAATCCTTTTTTCACTTCATTTCAATGTGCAACTTGCAAAATTTGTGTGTCAATGCCAAAAATTAGCAAAACGGTTTCCAAACAAAAACTCTTCAAACAATCAAGGTAAGTCGCATATAGTGCTTATATCAATGGCTAAAGAGCATTGAGCATTAAGCTTGTCTCCGTACAATCTCAGATTAGGGCTGTCATCGAGCAAAGGATCGCGAACGGGCAACTCGGCCAACAATAAGGAATTAAAAGTGCTCACCCTTTTGCAAACTGTGCCGTGAACTTTGAACTCTCAATCGCAACGCAACTGCGCAGCTTCGATTTATTGGCAGAATATAAAAATTTAATTGGAAAGCAAACTCTGATAATCGACACACAAGCTCAAAATGGTGTATACCGAACGCACAGACAAGTATTTGACGACCGCCAAGGATAATGCCAGCCAGAGCAAGGCGGCGTCCCAGAAGCCGGAGCAGATCAGCAGCAGCGGCGGCAGCAGCAGCGGCTCTGCTGGCGCATGGAGCGGTAAGGCTTCGACTGAGGACAAATGGAAGTACAACAATATGGTTAAGAATAATCGTGACCAGTTCAATGGCATGCACTTCTCCTAAATCATCAATATCGGGCGGACGATGGCGCATCGCGGCCATACGTTTGCGTCGTTTGATGGAGGAGGACGAGAGGGGGAATGTGACTGCAGCGTGATTCAGAGACTATACTTATAGCTCCATAGGGTCCATGGGGTCGCATAAATAAGTTAAGCTTGTTATTCAGATTGTGATAGTTGCATAATTTGGTGTTAAATTAGAATTGAAATTTCAAAATAAGATGCGCAAAAAAAAACCATTCCACTGCGTGTTTTAATTTGTTTTGTGAACGTGAAACCTGTTGGAGGAGAACTCTTTCAGTAAGTGAATTGGAATATTGGTTATTATCTCTCTAATAGTATGTATCAAAATTTCTCTTTATTTCTTTTGTCATTTTAAACCAACAAGTTAGCCAGCAAAACAAGGTAGACAGTACAAGCTGGTCAACAAAACAAAAAAGCCGCATTGGATTGACTGAATCGCATTGATTGTGAAGTAAATATTTTAACGGCCCAAAAAAAGCAGCCAAGTAAATAAATATTTATTTTTGGGGGTGAACTGAAACTGCGAAATTAAAACAACTCCCTTCAAATTGTTGATCTTGATTTACAAAACCTGGTTCGATTTGTAGACTTCCTTTTCAATATGTTATTTTTATTTATCTCTGTAACGCGATATCGGTGGTTTTATATTTGTCAAACGTGTGTTCAACAGGGCGGGCTTCAATCGCTTTAGATTATTAAGCAAAAGTTAATAAACGCATAAAATCAAATCATTTTCATATATCAGAGAAAAAAGTGGGAAAGCTAAGGTCGTTTGCCTCGGCTTTTAAATAGTATGGGCCTATGTAAAGAATATTATTATAAATTAAATAATACATTAAAAAAATTTAAAAAAAAACACAATTAAAATTTTAATGACAATATGTACAGGGTGCGCCATCTTTTATGTCGGTATGTAAACATTGAACATTGATTGAAAATAAACAACCAATTTTCAAGTATGAGATATTTTTATTTAATTTGGTTCTGCACAATTTCTTCAGACTAATTTTTTAAAACAACATTAATCAAGTCAATCGGTTCACTAATTACAAAGTTATTCAATATTTACATACCGACATAAAAGAAGGCGCACCCTGTATTTAACGGTATTTTTAGCTCATACAAGTCATCTTTTATTTTATTTTTTTTTTTTTTTATTTATTTTATTTATTTTTTTGTTAACCTTATCCTAGCGTTACAAGTATCAGGTCACTTTTAAATTATTACGCTAGTCATTACAATTGAAAGGATTTAAGTCGAGTCCCGCATTGCTTTTAATAGCAGTTGTCTGTTCTTTTATTTTTCAAATATTGTACTATATTTTTTTATTAAACAAGTGTACTGTGGCAGCTTAAGCTAGTTTTATGTACATAAGTCCGCTATGTCGTAAAAATAAAAAAATATATAAAACAAAACAAATTAAGAGCAGCATACTTTTAGGATCTACTTCTCGGAAACTACAAAAATTAATGGCAAGAAAATTTATCTCGCAATTACGAAAAGCGTCTCGGCTTTCACCTCAACCCACATAATTTAAAAAAAAAAGAAAATTTATAAACAATTCAAGAATGTAAAGTCTATTAAAATTAATCAAAAGAAGAATGTGAGAGCATATTTTGGTTCAAAAAAAAAAAAAAAAAAATTAAAGGGTGCATTCAAGTTTCCCCTTTTTATACTCTGTAACAAAAGATAGGTATATTAGACTTGTGAAGGGAAAGTGAAGCATCTGCTATACAGTTACTACTTGTATATGCATATATTTTTAAGCAGCATAAAAAGACAAATCGATTTAGACATGTCCGTCCGTCTGTAACTCTGAAAGAATGTCTAGATTTCGGAAGCGGCTGAGACTAGAACTGCTTTATATTTTATTTATTCCCCTACTACAGAATTTCTACACTAAACTAATTTTTGCGTAAATAATTTATATATAATTCTCTATTTCCATTTTTAATTTAAGCTCAAGTGACCAATCCAGAGAGGAATTGCAGCCCTATTATTCTTCTAAAGACTTGTAGTGAAGGACTTTTTGAACCCTAATGTTCCGTTTATGCAAAACTTTTAAAATTAAACGAAATTGCGGGACTGAAATGAAATGAAACTTCAGCAGATCTTTATCTTAATAAGCTATTAGTTAAGAATCTATTAGTTAATAAAATCAGTTAGTCGTTATTCTAGCTGAATTTAGTTTCAAACATATTCACTAAAATTGTGCAATAGCATCATTTTGTATCCCTTTCTCTGTCTCATCCGCACAATGAAACCATCGATCAACTGCTGCTTCCGATGACCTTGCTACTTGACTTATACCCTCAAATATATTACTGTCTATAGCATTTGCATGAATTGTAGCTATTAGCATGATTAGCCCAACTTATGTTCCATGCACCCCAAAACGGTAAAGTGCACTTAATACACATTAGCTACGCTTATTTGACAGCCCCAGTGAATGGGCGACGACGACGATTCACAACTTTCCGAAACTGAACCTTGGCCCGAGTACGTGCGCGCGTCCTTGCAATATTGATGATGCTCAGCTGCCTCCCCCGGGCATGCTCGGATTGACGCGTGACGGGCTCACGGCGCACTCACGGAGGGGGTGTGGGAACAAGTGTATCTCTGCAAACCATTAGAACCGCAACGACGTCCGGCGTCCGGCGTGCGTTACGGAAGAGTGGCCGACAACAACATTTACGCTTCGGATGGCGGAGAAGTGCGAATTTTTATAATTTTTCAATTGTATTGTTTGCTCAATCGGTGGAAGGCGGCGGCAGATATTGAATAGAATAGTACGAGACGGATAAAAGAAATGGGGGGGAGTGATGCTGATGCCGATGCCGCTGCCGATGCTGCGGTCTTTGGACACACGACTGCTTAACGGACACGTGGCGGTAGCTATTAGGGCGATGCCACAAAAACGATTTCTTTGACGGCACAAATGGAATTTTTCTAAAATTTTCGTGGCATTGCGAACTGACGCGATTTATCAGAGCATCGCTGCGTGACTTCTGCTGGCAGCTGTCACTGCGACAACACTTGTTCGAGTTGTGTGTGAGTGCGTGGCCAGTGTTGCCAACATTCAGGTGCAGAAAATGTCAGATGTAGCTTTTAAATAAAAAGAGTTCTACAAAGCGCTGTTATTGTTTATTAAGGTACTAAATATCTATCTCTGAAACCATTATCAGTGGGTAAGCAAAATATTTTTTGAGATTTTGAGATACTTTCTAAGACACCATGAGGATTTCTCTTACCTAACTCCATCCAACACTACTGATTAAATTAGCTACAAAGCTACTTGAAATGCGAGTTTATTGAGAAATTTGATTACAGATTTCATTAGCTATCAAGCTAGTTGAAATGTGAGTTTATTGGGAAATCAAGCTTAATTTTATAAATCTATACACTTATCATCACTGATTCTATATCTGTCTGCGAAGCTGGTAACTCTGAAGCGACTGTACTCTCTGAGAAACCATGAGTATTTCTTATATATATATCAACGACTGCAGATTTCATTAGCTACCAAACTACTTGAAATGTGAGTTTATTGGGAAATCAAGCTTAATTTTATAAATCTATACACTTATCCCCACTGATTCTCCATCTGTCGTCGAAGCTGGCAACTCTGATTGAACTCTGGAGCGACTGTACTTTCTGAGAAACCTTAAGTATTTCTTATATCTAACTCATCAACGACTGCAGATAACATTAGCTACCAAAATATTTGAAATGTGAGTTAATTGAGAAATTTAGCATAATTTCATAAATCTGTACACCAGATCTGTCTGCGAGGCTGGCAACTCTGATTCAACTCTGAAGCGACTGTACTTTCTGAGAAACCATGAGTACAAGTATTTCTTTTATCTAATTCATCAACGACTGCAGATTCCATTAGCTACCATGCTACTCGAAATGTAATAATTTCATAAATCTGTACACCACTGATTCTATATCTGTCTGCGAGGCTGGCAACTCTGATTGAACTCTGGAGCGACTGTACTTTCTGAGAAACCATGAGTACAAGTATTTCTTTTATCTAATTCATCAACGACTGCAGATTCCATTAGCTACCAAGCTACTCGAAATGTAATAATTTCATAAATCTGTACACCACTGATTCTATATCTGTCTGCGAGGCTGGCAACTCTGATTGAACTCTGGAGCGACTGTCTCCGCCACTTCATCTAATTTGAACCTTTTCTGGCCTGTAATTACTTTGTTTTTGCCAGCGCCGGGTGGTCGTCACTTGTAATCTTGGTCTGCATCTTCGTCACCTTGGCAAATGCGCGTGTCATGCAATTAAAACGACGCAGCAGGTGTCCTTTGAACTCTGCTATAAAATGTGTCACTTGCAAGGATTCCGAAACCGGATGCTACCGTTTGCCATCTCTCTCTCTCTATTTGCGTGTGTGTGTTTGCTGTGATTTTTGATGAGTTATAAAATGTGCGCGAGGCAAAAAGCAATTATCACGTCATTATCACAGAAATCCCACAAATGTACGAGTATTGGGATCTTTGTTTTGGCAGCGAGCACGTGTTGGAATAAAGTATACTAGGGTAGACTTCATATCTCCCCTTGCCGCAGTGCCAGCGACTGGTCAAGCAAGTTTTTCAAAAATTGTCATACAGCTTCTTGGGCTGCGCCCCCTCCGCTTCCTACACAAAGGCTGGCTGGCTTTGACTTCCGCCTTTGTCGCCGTTGTTGCCGAAACATATGTACGTCCATGTCTGTGTCTATGACTGTGGGCTGCAATCAGACAACCCTTATTACAGACCCCGCGTTATATTATCTCCTTTGAAGAGCTCTGGCGACAACATGTGACAGCCTCAACACATTTGCCGCCGACTGGGAACGTGGAAAATTATGAATAATTTCCGTAACTTCTGCTGCTGCCACACAGCTTGCGATGAAAAAGTGCGGCAGACTATTCCCACTTTTCATCGCGTGCCTCAAGTATGGGGCGTGCCGTCAGATACAACTTCCGACAGATGTTTTGTGCGGGAATGCGACAGCAGCAGTTGTTGCGCCCGGTTGCGCCCGTCAGATTTCGCGAAAACAATTGCCAGCGATTTTGCCACATTCGAGTACATTTATGCCGATGTCTCAGACAGGAGCAGCAGCAGCAGCAGATCCTGCCCTCCGCACGGCATTCAAATGTACGGGCGTTGACATTCCCGAAAGGTGTTGCCTCTTGTTGGCTGGCATTTGTGGCAC